CAAACTTGTAAGTAAACAGCCAGGCAAGGCGTGTTAGTTTATCTTTGTTTTCTCAACTTGTAAATGTATCTTTTACTAGAGTGTTTATCTCTGTTTGCTGTACTTTGAAACTAAGGCTAGAGGGGGGTCCTCTGAGCTCTTTAAGTTTGATTACCCTGTAAAGTTATTTTCCCATCCTGATTTTACAGAGAAGATTTTTACCTTTTTCTTTAATTAAAAGCCTTCTTTTTAAGAACCTGATTGATTTTTCCTTGTTTTTAGATCCAAGGGGGTTGGATCTGTATTCACCAGGGAATTGGTGAAGAGTTTCTCAAGGCTTCCCAGGGAAGGGAATTAGCTTTGGGAATGGTGGCAGTGGACCAGATCTAATCTGGTAGTTAAGCTTAGAAGTTTTCATGCAGGCCCCCACATTTGTACCCTAAAGTTCAAAGTGGGGAAGCAGCCTTGACAGGGTCTATCTTGAAAAAGTGCATCTTCCTCAAGATCAAATGCCACCAAATAGCAGTGCTTCCAACATGAGATCACTTTGCTTATTAGCCAATGTTGTTGATTTTATTCCAGGAAGCACAGCATTTAAAACAACTTGAAAACATAGATGCCTTGACATCTGACAAACTCACAAGGATAGCCACATGTGTACTGACTGGCATTTCCCTCTAGGCAAGGAGCTGGATCAGGTACTTCAGGTACATTGTTGCTCTACTCAACCCATTGAAATCAATGAGAGTTTCCTATGTATGTAGCCTAATGATCTAACTCATCCCTTATCAATCAGTTATCTTTTAATTGGTAAATATTAAGACATTACCCCCAATATCTCTTCTGAATAACACCTGTGGAGTCCATATCAAGATAGGCTCCTCTTTATAGCCACCAGGCGGCAACATTTGGTAAGCATAGGACACTACAGAAGACTTTTGATCTAGGACACACATGGGTTGTCTGGTATGGCATTGGTTAAGATAGTCTCATACAATGGCTAGCACAGTTACTTCTCTACATCCATCCTGCTGCTGTGAAGGAGACATGCATGATCTCTTAAAACAATCAATGCTGGCAGGAAAAGGTTCAAGGAGATTGTGTTCCAGAAAGAGAGGCACTCTCACAAAGTAGACAATCTAACCACAATTATTGAGTAATGATCAGGATTTCCAGGTATCTCATAGCACTCTGTGGATTTCTGACTCTCTCTTCATAAATATAACTATTTATAATGAGCAAAACAATTCCTGGTTCCCGTCTTCCCTCAGCATCACTCATTCTTCATAGACTGGTATCTTAGCCTCTAATAACTACACTTGTTCAGAAGTGGTTGGGTCACTGTCTAGCGGGAGGGACCCTACCCTACTCAGACTTAGGGTTATGCCAATGTAACTCAGACAGAATTTGGCCCTTGTTGTAAACAGGTGCCACTGCCATGGAAGCCTGTCAGCCAAATCTGGTGGTGACATAACTGTGGATATAAGTTTTGTATTGAGGAAAATCAAGAAAAAAATGGGTGCAGGGATGGTGTCCCTAACCTCTGTTTGCCAAAAGCAGGGAATGAGTGATGGGACGGATCACTTGATGATTACCTGTTCTGTTCATTCCCTCTGGGGAATATGGCATTGGCCACTATTGGGAGACAGGATACCGGGCTAGATGGACCTTTAGTCTGACCCAGTATGGCTGTTCTTATATTCTTATGTAAGTGGGTAGAGCAGTGCAACTTGCTCCTATTTGGCAATCAGCAAGTATGCAAAATGAATGTCACTTCAGCACTGAGGGGTCGAGTTTTATCATATATCTTTTCCCCCTAAACCCCTAGGCATGTAAGTTCCACTTGTTTTGCAGTTCCTCAAAATGCCAAATAGTGCAGGTTGCAGTACCTTACCACTTGCTGCATAACTGTTTTTTTCCGAGCAAATTACAGCCATCATCACTTACGCCATTGTATAATTTAGCCCACACCATATATTTCCTGTTATCATCTAAAAGGCATGGCACATTTTACATTTGCAAGAAGAGCCTGAGACAGGTTTTTGCTGATGCAAACGTGCATTAATTATTAATGATCATCATTAGTATTATCATGATATGTGTATATAGCATCACAAATTTATACACATGCCCTGCCCTGTAAAGCGCATACCAAAAATAAAACAAACATATGACAACACTTGAGGAGAGGGAGTGTAAGGAGATTGTTAATGAGGAGGAGGAGGGAGGATGGATTGCTTGAAGATCTGGGTTTAAGGATGGATATAACAGAGGAGTGAAGGTGTCTGTGGATGAGGGCCTGGAGAATATACAGAAATAGGTATGCAGTATGCAGCAGTCGGGTTTGCTAGTTATTAAAGAAAGGAGGAATAAGCTATTCTAGTTAAAAAGGAAAGTTCTTTCTCTCACTGCATTGCATTCAAGAAATGCTGCATCTCCTTCCTATCACCCTGCCCCGCCAAAGTAGTGCTTCGATTTTTCAGGCCTGCTGTGATAATTACTGCTTCCCTGATTGCCTTTAGCTAGACATTACATTTTTATCATTTTAACTATAGAAGATGCAGGGGCATAGTGCCTTTCCAGACTATCTGTGGAGAGTATGTGTAAGCACGTGCATACTCATGGTGGTGACAGAAGTTTATTAAACATATTTGTCACAGCCCTAGTGTGCCACTTTAGACCTGAACCTGCCAGGTGCTTAGTGCCTTCAACTCCCAAGCAAAGAGGTGCTGACCTCCTGCAGGTTCCATTTACTTCATCGCAATTGTGGGTTCTCAGCGCCTCTGCAAATCAGGTCCCTATTGACTTCACTTAAGGTGCCCAGTGCCTCACAAGACTGGCTCCTTAGGCAGGACATTTTCAATCATACAGTATAAGTAACTTCATAAATCACAATCATTAAATTGCCAATAGCCTTTTATGTGGCTTCATCAACCCCAGATTATCCAAGCCCCAAATATCTGCTCATTCCTGAATTGTTTATGATGGGTGATAAATACAGCAGTTATGATAAAAAGCATCAGGGATGTCACAAAATTGCTCCTTTCCTTGTCGCATCACTCATATGCCTTATAATATTTTTCTTCCTTACCAAATGTCGCAAATATCTTCCATCCTTTGATACTCGCTGCTCCTTATAATAACACTGTCAGTATCTCCTTATAATACTATATATCTGTTCCACATGCTGCCTTTCAAATACTTCTTCTAATACTGCATCTGCCTTCCTTGTAATCTCTCTGAGATACTCATAATGCCTCCTTTCCTTGTCACACCTCTCATATACTCCTTATAATATAACCTGGAACATTTCTGTGCTCACCTACCCATAAAGATTGCCAATGCTCTGAATGACAAAAATGATCTAAAGAAATTGGATGTAGTGAAAAAGTAAAGGTTATATCTCACTGTACTTGAGAAGGATCAGTGTGGCTTTCAGGCTTACTAGCCAAGCAAGGACTGCAGCTGCAGCATCATTTGCAGTTCCAATTTGCCTAGCAAATATCATGAAATTTCATAGTTCTGGCCATTGTGTTGCAGGAAACCAGCTCTGGCAGCATACAGGAAAAGAGAGACAGTGATATAATGCACCAAAAGGATTTTCCTGTCTATCAGGCAAGAGAGTTGATTCCTCGCTAGGTGGTAAGTTGTATATCTTCAATTCATACCACAGCAATGGTTCTCTACAGCTTAAGTTTGCAAATTCTCTGCAACTGGCCTGAAAGCAATGGGACCGTGCAGGATTTAAATCAGCACAGAATGTGACCCAAACACTTAGGCAAGTTATTAGACTAACCCAGTTTTTGAAATATGAGGCCAGACTCACTAGTGCTGGCACATGGAGGTGTGAGTTATAGCTCTCTCCCACTGCCAGATCTCTACACCCAGGAAAAGATTCACCCCAGGGGTGGGCATGTTGTGTTGCCACTGTAACCAGTGGTTAAAGGAGAATGAAACAAAGGGGGAGCTCTCAGTGCATCAGTTGAGGAGGAAGGGGAGCTGTAGGGGAACACTGCTTACCCAAGCCAGAAAGAGGTGAGGGAATTGCTCTCTGCTTTTAGCTTCCCCTTAATTTAACTCAGGGTTTCTGCCTGAAGGAGGCAGTTTTAATTTATGCCATGATCCCGTGGGATAGGACAGTACCTAGTTACTGGGGTGATAAGTATAAATACTTGACTGACATACAGACACTGTAGGAGTTCTGCTGGCAGAAACAGCAGAAGGGATACATTCAGTCAGATCATCTTCCAGCCTCCCTGGCCATGCCCCTTTCCCACCCAGTGCCTCCCATTTTTAGGCTATTCTTGTTGCCTACTCCTCCTGGAGCAAGGGGAAGTTGTTTCAACCATTTTCCACCCTCATGACCTCCTCGCCCAGTCTGCTGATTTTTTCTTTTCAGCTTGTTCCTGAAGAGTCTTGGGGCCCAAATATTGCTGCTTACTGGGAATGGGCAAACTGTTCTGGAGAAAACAAGGTCACCCAGGGAAGCTTTGCCCAAAACCTCAGTTGAACCCAAAACACTTTTTCTTGGGGATCTGCAACGTTATGATAGGTTCGCAGAAAGCAACTGTTCATGTTCATTACTCATATATCCCTTGTCATTTTGCTGTTACCTCTCCTCAGCATCATGATGTCCATCATCGGTTGTTTTAAAAGTGACATCTTCAGTTCTGACTCCCCATTGTTTGCCAGGCTTGTCTTTATTTCTTCTTGGTCCAGCACTAAAGTGCTTCTGTTTCACGCTCTCCTCATTCATTATGTAGAGTCTGCACCCCGTCCATTCCCTGCCCTCCCTCAACACCCTTTGCAGCACCTGAGTAGAATGTACAATATAGGAGTTACCGTCTCTGATCCTGATTATCCATTCAAACTGATGCAGCACCATTGGGATAGATTGGATCTCATTTACATCAGTGTAATTCCAGAGTATCTCCACTGGTATCTGTGGAGTTATTCAGTATTTATATTGGTGTAACTGAAATCAGAATCTGACCCATTGACTTCAAAAGGTTTGTTCCAAATTTATACCAATATGAGAGGAGAATCAGGCGCTCTGACTTCTTCCAGCTTTGAAACTTTCATCCCTCTAGGTGGCTTCTTACTTTGCTTCTACTCAAATAACTAGCTGCTTCCTTCCTTCCTCTAATTTTGCATAACCCAATGAGAAATGGCATTTCTCCTCCAACCCAACCCTTTTATTCTCTGCCTGGTTAGTGTTAAACTGCCTACTCATTGTAGACCTCTCTCAGGCTTGAAGTATAAATCAGTTAGTGATGTGGCTTCATATTAGCTTATGAGTGTGGTTTTTGTAAATATTTATTTATATCTGTGTCGAATCACATTAAGAGGAAACCCAGGAAATGATGATTATGTGAGTGTCATATAATCTACTGTGGAGCGTGCACGATGACAGTTCTGCAGTAACCATTTTACCAAGACTTTACAAATTCCTCTGTCAAAGAATTTGACATTCACTGATATTAAGTCAAATCTAGTTCTAAATTTTGGAGTCTGATATCATGATTAGGAATATTTCTGTATTGAATCTTTACTCTCAAAAAGGCCTGGATTTCTATTTATTTTTTTCCTCTTGTCTAATTTCATGACATTTTCAGGGAAGTTAATCTGAACATAACACTTGCTGAGATACAGTTCTTCTCAGTAAAGGAAGGAGTTTGAGGTGAAACAAGATTTTTGAGCATATCATTATGAAGTACAGTAAGAATAGGTTGTTGTTTTTCTGAAAGTTCCTGTAAAAAAAATGGAAAGCTTGATTGATTTCTGGAGCACCTCCAGGATTTCTTCTGCAGTGGTACTATTATGCACCAAATCTGTAAGATATGCAGACAGAAAATTCCAGCAGAAACAGCAAGGTTATGCATACTTTTTCGTTAAATCTGTATCAGGAAACCAGGCAAGGAGGAGCTGGAGAACGTAGTAGACAGAAGCTCTACAGTGAGCTAAAGAGAGAGAGAGGGAGAGTGACAAGTATAACTTTAGGGGTAATACTGTTTTCCTTATTCTAGTAAAGTTTCTTGCTTGGTGACAACTACACTAGCCTCTGGTTACCAGTTGGCAGACATAATTACATCCTCTAAATCAGCCATGACCACTAAATAGTTGACAGCTGTCATGGTTTTAGGTGTATTTGTTAAAGCTGCTTATATTGATACCAAGAAAAGTTACAACATTTTAAAGATTTTTGCCCTTACTAAAAATGGCAGCCATCTCCCATTGTTCTCAGCTGAAGCCAGGCTGTCCTCACCGAAGATGCCACCATTTGAACGTGGAAGTGAGGCTGCAAGAGTAAAGCTGGCCACCCACTCCATCTCCCTTTGTTTCCAATGAGTTTAAAACCAAGGTGCCCTCAGAGAAGATAGGTACCTGCTATTCACCATTTGTGGCCAAGGCAGGAGACCATATGGAAACACAGGAATGTGAGGATTACTTTGGGGGCAAGAAGGAAAAGTGCAGTGGGAGACAAGACTGTGGGGACAGAGGAAACTGGGGGATGAGGGGCTAAAAGGAAGACTGTCAGGATTTTGAGAGATGTCTTTTAATTAATTAAAATTGCTATTATTTATATTACAGGAGTGCCTACAGACATAGGAGCTGGAACTAGTGGTGTGGAGGGTGCTGTCGCACCTTCTGTTTTGAAGTGTTTACAATCATATACAGGGTTTACAGTTTGGTTCAGTGGTTCTCAGCACTCCCACTATACAAATTGTTCCAGCACCACTGCCTAGAGACTCCAACTGAGATCAGGGTCCTACTGTGCTAGGATCTGTACGTACACAGAATGTGAAAGAGGCCCTGCCATGAAGAGCTTACAACAGAGATGACCAGTACCTGCTGATAGTGGTGGGGCAGAGTGAGCGCAGCGGCTTCAGCAGATGATGCTGAGAATGCTCAGTCTGTGTGTGCCCTCCCTTCCCTCATGCATCACGTCTGGCTTACAACCTGATTTGACAAGACAGATAAAGGGTATGTCTACACTACGGGATTAATCCGAATTTATATAATTCGAATTTGTGAAATAGATTGTATAAAGTCGAATGTCTGCGGCCACACTAAGCACATTAATTCGGCGGTGTGCATCCATGTACCGGAGCTAGCGTCGATTTCCGGAGGGTTGCACTGTGGGTAGCTATCCCATAGTTCCCGCAGTCTCCCCCACCCATTGGAATTCTGGGTTGAGATCCCAGTGCCTGATGGGGCAAAAAACATTGTCGCAGGTGGTTCTGGGTACAACCTCACCCCTCCCTCCATGAAAGCAACAGCAGACAACCTTTTCGCGCCTTTTTTCCTGGGTGAACACTGCAGACTCCATATCATGGCAAGCATGGAGCCCGCTCAGCTCAAGACAGCAGTCATGAACATTGTAAACACCTTGCGCGTTCTCATGCAGTTTATGCTGATCCAGAAAAACGAGGCGAGGAGGCGGTGGCGACGGCAGCGCAGCAGCAGCGTGATGAGGACATGGACATGGACACAGAATTCTCTCAAACCGCGGGCCCCAGTGCTTTGGAGATCATGTTGTTGATGGGGCAGGTTATAGCCGTGGAACGCCAATTCTGGGCCCGGGAAACAAGCACAGACTGGTGGGACTGCATAGTGTTGCAGGTGTGGGACGATTCCCAGT